GGGGGGAGGCAACTTTGCGTTGCTCGATCTACCTCGGGGCCCGCGTATAGCTCCGCGCGCGCGCATGGAACGCCGTCTCTGGAAGTCCGCGTCACGGTGGTTGCCCCGAGTGGTCGCTTATTATTATGACGATCCTTGCAACGCCATTTTGCTGATCTCAAACGCGCCCGCTTGGATTCGTCTGAGCGCGCGACGTAACAGCAGTCGTGAATCGTTGCTGCTCACATATGTGTGCGTACCTTGCTGCGAACGTGCAGCGTCATCAGCAGGAGATTTGGCTTCACGCAACCCCGATATCGGGCTTCTGACGCCCGATTCGGGATCGGCGGCAAGTAACCGTCGGACCAGCCGAGAGTGCGAAACCAGCACATCGTGCCTCGCACTCCATGACTCCGTTCCTCTCCACCACCCTGACCGTCAGTGTGTACAACTCAGTACACAGCGACGTTGCATTATGCAACCATTCAATGTTTTGGCAGCCCCTTGCTCCCGATGCATGATAGCTGCCACCAGAGTCGTGCCTCAGGCAACTCCAGAATACACAGCGAGAGGGATGAAAATTGCTACAGCACATCGACAGGCAAACGTCCTAACACGGTTCTGAGATATATGCAATTGGAGAGGGCTTGGACCGATTTCGATCCTTGCGCCAGACAGTCTGCAGGAATATTTCGGCAGCCTCATGTGCAAGACCGCGAAGACGCAAGGCGAACGCTGAGATCTGGAGACTTTGATGTGCTACGAGAGGGAAAATTGCGCTCAAAGATGATAATTAGGGCAGGAATAACGATGATTCGTGAAATGTTCGTGAGGTTCGTGTCTGTTTGCTATCAGGCAAAGTCGTTCGTGAGCCAAGACGCTACACCATCGATTGGGTCGTTACGACGCCTTGACGGCAGTCACATCGGGCTGGGCGGGCGGAGGACTTTTCCCCGAGCGCTTGTCTCGCTTGCCCTTGAACAAGCCCTTTGCGCCCGCCACAGCCGGTGGAGAAGCGGCGCGCTGCTGTTCACCCAACGCAGCTTGTCGAGCCAGGGCTGTCGCAGCCGGGGAGGCTGGGCGAGTAAGTGGGTCAACAGTGCTGCTGCCACCAGAGGCCTGGCGCGACGCGCGTCGAGAAGCATTGACGGCGCTTAGCACTGGAGTGCCTGGAATCTGCATCTCGAGACAAGATGGCTCCGCAAGTTGAGCGCAAGCGACGTGTGTCTTGACGGGACAATCGTCGCAATCCATAAATGCGCCGAATCCGAGGCGCCTTCCGCAGACGTAGCACTTGGCGAGCGCATTTGCCAGGATCAGCCCAGGCGGGATCATGCTGCCTGCCGTGGGAGCAACTTGACCAGAGGCAGCTGCGGCAGCAGCCGCCCCCATCGGCGTTGGTTTCCTCATTCCGTTCTTGACCAGCGTGAAACGATGGTAGACAAGGGGATCGTGATAATGCTCCTGACCATCTTGCGTAGGGCTGCGTTGACGGGTGAGCGTGGAGGAAGCGATGGTCGCCATTGCAATGGAAGGGTCCTGACGATGTGATCTGGCGGTCATGAAGGACTGCGTCACATCATCATCCCCTTCGGCTGCTGCCGCGCCGTTTGCGTCGTGGCCAGTGTCGCCGCGCAAGGTGGAGGCGTCTGACGGCTCCACTCGATCTGCTCTTCCCGCAGTGCGCTTCGAGTCACTTGGAGTGACATCCTCTTGCTTCACGGTCATGGTGGAGAGCGTGTTTGATAAAGCTGCATGGGCATCTTTATTCTTCGACGGGCGCACCACACTCGTGCTGTAGGTCGTGTCTGTGTCGCCGCTGGCAAAAGGATTGGAGGCGCTCGACGCTCTCACAGTACTGTCCTTTGCCATCGTTTTCTGCGTCCACGAGGTGCGCAGACTGGGCAAAGCGCTTCCCTGCTCGTCGCTCCACCAAGGATTGCCGTGGCCGGACACCTTGAAGGTGCTGCCTGTGTCAAGCTCGCCGAGCTGATTGTCGAGGGGATCGTGTACACCCACGCGCTCCAGTGCGGCGAGTGCCTCTTCCATGTCCTCGTCGCTGTCCTCGCCTTCCGACGACGATCCGCCATCATGTCCATTGGGCTCCTCCTTGATGGTGGAGGGCTCTCCAACCTTGACCTGCCCGTTGAAGCTTGGGAGTCTGGGCGGACCGCCTGGTCGACCGCCTGCTCCTTTTCGCTTGCTGCCGGCGTTTAGCACAGCCTTGAGACTAGAGCCTCGCAAACTTCCAACGCTTTGCAAAGTACCAGCTTTGGCCTCGCGCGTCAGAACATCTTGTTCAATATCGCGCAGGCGACGCACGATGTCGCGCATTTCTGGTCTCGCTTCCGGCTCGACCGCCACGCAGTCGATGCAGAGTCTAATGAATGCCTCTGGGCATCCCTTGGAAGCCATTTCCCGAATCTCTGATTCCTCCACGCCAAAAGTGGGCATCTGTCGCTTGAACGTATTCGCATCCACGAGGTGACGAGATGCGATCTCGCAGAAGATGACTCCGAGGGAAAAAATATCCGTGGGCAGACTGAAATCGACGCCCATCAGAATTTCGGGCGACATGTACCCATCAGTGCCGCAGAACTGGTGGCAATGGGGCAGGAGAAGCTCAGACGAGATCGCCCATCAGACACAAAAGGATATTCTTTACTCACGCTCATCCTACGCATCTCTTCTTCGTTCCTCGCCGCAATGCGCGCGAAGCCAAAGTCGCACACCTTGACCCGATTGTTCGCTGTGATGAGCAGATTCTCGCCTTTCAAGTCTCGGTGCAAGCATTGTCGTGCGTGCAAGTACGCCACAGCGCGAGCAACGTCGGTGGCAAAGCTCATGCGCAAAGGCCAGTCGAAGGTTTTGTGCTTGTCGGCAATGTAGGACCGCATGTTGCCGCCGACAAATTCGGAAACGATGTAGACTCTACCATCGGGATCGGGACTTTTCGACACGCCGATGTACTGAACGATGTTGGGGTGCCGCGCTTCTTTCATAAGGACGCATTCGCGCTCAAAGTACTTTTCAACGTCGTACGTGTTGTTCGGAAGCACTTCCTTGATGGCCACTTCTGTCCCCAAGTACTCCCCCTACCGGCACACACAGAATAGAGAGTAAGTCCTTGACTTCGACTGCGCTTCGCCCCACCAGACTCACCTTGTAGACTACACCAAAGCTTCCGCCGCCGATTCGGACCCATTGACCGCCGCCCGGTCCAGTAAGATCGGCAAAGTGGATGCTGTCGAAGCGATTCATCCTGGCTAGAAGAGTGGCGCTGAAAATGCGCTTCGCACGATGAGCCTGGGTGATCGAGAGCCCTCGCAAGCCGTGGAAGAGACTGAGATGAATTCAAGCTTTCAAGCTGCAGGGTGCGAGACGCGAAATTCCAAGGTCCCACCAAATGCCTTGAGATATCTGCGTGTATGCTATCAGAGCGTCGAACCGAGAGAAGGCAGTCTTCGATGTACCAAGTGCCTGTATTCAGAGTCAGCGCCTTTGGTCACCGCTTTGCACTTCGAGGAGCGAGCGGGAGATGATGGACGAAAGGCGCGAAATGGGTTTGCGAGCTCGGGATTTGAGGGGAGGGCGTTGGGGCCAGCGCGAGTGAGGAGAGAAGTCGTGACAGAGAACAAAAATTGTTGAGTGGCGGATCGCGCTGATCTGTCAGGGATTCTATGGCGGGAGTCAATGATGCTGAGATGTCGTGAGCGATTCGTACCTCAATGATCGAGGTGGAGTGGTGGGCGCGACAAAGATCAAGTCAAGTGTGAGTCAAGAAAGGTGGGACAGGCAGAGGAGGCAAGAGTCGCGCGATCATAGGACCAGCTCCTCCAGGAGACCGCGTCAGCAAAGTCTGAGTGAAGTTGCGGAGACGCTAGCGGTGAGCAGCGCGGTAAGCGGTAAGCGGCGGCGAGGCGACAGCAGCCGCCTTTGTAGGTACAGTCGTGAGTAGTTGTGCAGCGCAGATGCATGAGCGCACCGCCATCATGCAAAATGGCTTGATTTGTGAATTCATGGGTCACATGCAGCACAGCTCCCCTATAGAGACTCAGAGTTAGAGAGCAACACTAGACCAGCTTAGCAGTTATTGAGTCCATATTTAGCGAGCTCAGCTAGTCAATTTTGATTGTAATTGTAATTGTGTTTCAAGATTTGTGATCGAGCCTCGAGTCTCGAGTTCGGCCCCCAACAGCGACTGCGCGGAGACCCTATAGCTCCCAATCCCATGCCGATTTCTCTCAAACATCAAGGAGGTGGGTGCATCCAGGGTATTGAGTCAAACGCATATTGAGATCCAAGGGAGTCGTAAGTGCCCCACTTGACTCGATCACGACTCGTGAATCGTGACTGACTTTGACTTGAAAAGGTGCATGTAGACATTCATTCTTGATTGCAATTCTTGTTTCTTGATTGTGATTGTTGTTGTATATTCACAGTCAAAGTAGATGCTGCATGATGATCGCACCACCAAGCGCTTCGCCCATGCCATGCTTCAGCAGCAGGCCGCATCAGGTGTGCACCGCCTCGCCTATTCGATTCTGCCTACTGTATACGGCGCGCGCGGCAAGCCCCTGAGTGTTGAGGCGGACCTACCTGATTTGAATCGAAACCTGATTCAGGTCGATCGTGCTGAGTGGGCGACAAAACTTTCACAACATTGCCCACGTGACCATATTGCGCGCTCTAGGCGCTCGACTATCAACTCGTGGATCTTTGAATACAACATCATGTGCGACGTAAAATTGTGACTTCAGAACATCGATCGGTGCGCGCTTCAAACTTGTAATGGGTGGACGAAGCGCAGACGAGCCCCCACCACGACTCAAGACTATCTCGCCTTTGCCGCAACCTTCCCACCTCCATTCTGTAGCTATCTTTGCACTCACATGGCACAGGCTCTGCCGACAAAGTTACGAGCAGCATGGCTGAAGGTCAAGTGAGGCGATGGTGCAGTCAGTGCCCCTGCCTCGCCATTGCCTCACGCACTTTGGGCTGGCTGTGACGCTCTTCTGCCCTGCGGTATCTCCTTTCTGCCACCGCGCTTGTTGTCTTTCCAGTCCAGCAAAGCAAAGGCCAGCATCGCAATGTCGCGCTTCGAATGGGCTGCCTCACAATCGGCAGCCAGCAATGGCATGATTAGCACAGTGTATCAGCTAAAGTGGTCCTCTCACGACGTGGCGCCAGCACCTGCGGATACTCCTGCTCCTGCTGCTCAACCTTCTACACGCTCCAAATTTGAGCTCATGGCAGCAGATGCAACTCTCGACTCGCCCTCGCCGCACTTGCTCTTTCAAAGCCGGAATCTTGAGAAGAACATGCGCGAAGAGTTGTCATCGGCAAGTTCCTACACGGCCGCATTGCAAGTCCGATGTACCAATGCTTTTCGCGCTTCGTATGTGCTTCGCTCACAAATGAGCACAAACAAAAGCAATGATCTCGTGCGAATTTATTTCAGCCCTCCGTCGTGAGGCATCAAATCTGGTACGCTGGGCTGGTCAGCGCATCGAGTCTTGTATTGATGCAGAAAATGGCAGTCTGGAGGTCAGACTTGATGCGATCCGGTTCGATCGTATCGATGGCCGCAGCTGGAACAGGGAGGCCTCCCTCTGCTCTGAAGTCCTGTCTCCAACGCTGATGATGGTGTCAGAGCTGTGCAATGCCATCCTCGCCAAGCAGCGAGCCCATGCGTCGGAATCCACCGAGTGGCTGATGACCAAGCATGTGGAATGGTTAGGCGAAGGCAACCGCCCGTCGGTCTTGAGGAGGCTGTTCAGAATTCGCGCTTCCCTCTCTCCAAGTGGGACTTTGCTCTCTTCGATTACCGGACTCGCGGAGCGCAAGGGCAAGGTGAGTCGTCGCTCTCTGCTCTTCATATGCTGGCTGACTGGCTGGCTGCATATCGCTGACTTGACAGCTGACATGCTCTTGCTCATCAGACGCGCGCATCCTTGCGATCATCGAGGCCAAGCCATGGATCTCGCCTAGCGTCATGTCGAGTCTGTTGGAACTCGCTGACCTTCACCCCCTCCCTGAGGTTGACCTCGAGGCAACAGGTTCGCGGGTCGAACATCACAAGAGTCTGCTCGCCCAAGTCGCCAATTACTGCTTTCGCGCCGGAGCAAGGACAGGGGCAGTACTCACCGGATCAATGCTCCTCGTGATCGACATGGACGGCGAGCCCGGCAACTTGAAGATCACGCTCAGGAGCCCGGTTGCTATCAACTCGAGCATACGTGGACTGGACCCAGACGCAGCCTTTGGCGAGGACCATTTTGATGCAAGCTACTCGATACTCTCGCAGCTGGTAGCTTTCACCTTTCACGCCATGTCGCGCATCGAGCGTCTGGGCGAGATCGAGCCATCCGAAACGACGTACACGACCATTGGTCTTCGAGCACCAGACTCCGGCCGAAGTTCGCATTCCAAGAGGATCACCCGGTCGATGACGGCCTCGGGCTCAAGACGCGAGTCCCAGAGCACTTTCAGTACATTACGAGCTCAGGGGGATTATGGATCTCTGACAACCCACTCGAGCTACGTCAAAGTGTGCGACAGGCCGCTCTCTGCCGGCTCTGTTGCAACGATGCACAAAGCCCGCTTTGAGGAAGGCACGTCCTCGCTACTTCTTCTGGCCAAGATGTACCATTCATCTGACAAAGATGAAGAAGGCCTGGGTGAGGAAGATCTGCAATCGGTTGCTCTGCACGAGGCGCACATCTACTCCACACTTTCAGCTCTGCAAGGCTGCCAAATCCCTCGGCTTGTTAGCGCGCTTTCGGTAGCATCAAGGAGGAGGAAGGCATCTGGTTGGATGGCTCATGGGCGAGAGGATAGTGACGAGCTCATGGATGGCGTGAAGACGCGGCCTCAAGCAACCTCATTCCTTGATTCCCCTCACTTGATGGCATCCCCTGGCTCTCAAAGCTGCAGTACCGCCGATCCTCCCCAACAGATCCGAGGGCTGCTGCTTACAAATGCCGGCAAGGCTCTGTCCGACCTGGCTCTTGTCGACCTGTTTGAGATGCTGCCAGCTTGCAACGCACAGAAGGCTTCACCGCTTGCGCAAGCTGAAGTGCCTCGTATAGTGCGAGCGGCGTTCTTGGACTCGGTCGAGAAGATCCACCAATGCGGTGTCATTCACCGAGACATCCGACCGTCCAACATGTGTTTGCAAGCCAGTCAAGGCGGCCTGCAAGCATCGTTCATAGATTTCCATCTTGCAGAGCATAAAGACTCTCTCAGACGTCCCGAGCAGGCGTTCGATGCGGAATCTAAAGAGGTGGCAGCGGAGGTGGAAGCGGTGCTTGGCAAGCTCTTCAGTCAAGCGCACAAGACTCATCCATGATCGATCGCATCAATGGGGCCATGACGAACAGAGCTGCGTCGCGTGCGAAAGGCAAAAGTTGACAAGTCCGTAATTGTAATTCATCGACATCGAGCGTGACGTGTGAAAGAGCAATTCTAGTCGAGATACAATGGAATATTGCGAGGTGGTTCCGGTGCAGCGCGAACGACGTGGGGGCCCGAGCTGTCTCGGGGAAGAGCAAGGCATTCAGCAAAGGAGTCTAAAGTGTGGCGATCACGATGCTGCTGCGCCGGCGCTAGCGGCGAAAGCAAAGGCAATCGCCAATGTAGAAGGTACAGCGAGCTTGAAGAGGGCACCAGATGCGCTCCCGTGCGTGGCGATGAGACGTAGATGGATGGGAAGCTTGTGAACTTCGACCTTGGCGAGTTTGCGCATCTGCTGCTCGAGCTGCGCTTGATCTGCCAACTCATCGGCTTCTGAAGAAGGAACGAGGGCGTCGAAAATTGCACGATTGAGATCAAAGGCCAGGCTCGCCTCGTGCACTAGAAGAGGACTCATAGTCTGCTGTTCCGCCATCGACAGATCTTCGAATCCGCCATCCATGGCGCGTCTAAAGTCTTGCTTGAGCGACATTTCCCAAGCGCGCTGACTCTCTTCGAAAAAGGCCGGCTTTTCGAAACGGTAGAATTGAAAGCCGGCTTCTGCACCGGAATCTTCGATGGGCCACAGGGCCTTTGCGCGCTTGGCAATGTGCTGACCGCCAGACAAGTCGCCCATGTAGCGGACGTAGGCGTGTGCGGGCAGAAGGTCTGGCGTGTCGTTGAGACCGGTTCTTTGAGCGGTCAGTGGCGTCTTGTGCTCATCGAGAGGGGTGAGGCAGACACCTTCGTCGGATGGAGTGCTTCGTCCGCTTCTGCAGGTTGTCGCCGCGCGACCAAGAGTGTCGAGACGCTCAGAGTATCGAAGCACGGCGCTGGCGTGCAGAGGCGACATGATAGCTAGGTGCTGCGCTGTTGGGAACTGTGCGCGAGAACGTTCGATGGATCTTGCGGCGTGAGGCAGATGGGCCAGCAATTCAGCAAGCTGCTGGTGTGCTGGTGACTCTGATGCAAGAGGGTGTGCCAATGCGTCAAGCGCTTCAGTCTCTTCTAGCTTGGAGTACAACGCGCCAGCGGCGGCGATGTGTGCACCAGTGCATAGGTGAGCTCTGACATCATCTTCGAGTGTGGATGTTCTGAAGAGGCTGGGCAGGTCGAGCATGGATTGCAAAGGTTCCAAGAGAGGCGCAGAGATTGTCAGATAGGCCTCTAGCGTTCTGCAGAGTCGAAGAGGGAAGGGTCAGGGCGGCGCACAACAAGCTGCGTCGTACGAACACGAAATGCTCACCGATAGACGCAACCGAGACCAACAAGCCACGCGATATACTCTGACCTTTCAAGTCCCAAGGTCTGACCGTCGCTGCTGTCACCCCTTGCGAGGCCCATCAGAGCTCGGACGCCTCTGCTACGTTCTATAGCAGTGTGAGCTCTGGCGGTGCCCTGCTGAAGTCGCGCAGAAAGAGGAGTGTCGCTGGTAAAGGCTTCAGGGGCCACAGAAGGGTCGGCCTGAGATTTGGAAGTTGAAGGTTGAGGGTGATACATGGCGTGCGCGGATGCATCCAAGCGGACGCCAGTCAGCTTGGCGAGCGTTGCGAAGGGGCAAGGCATTGCGCGTCTCTTTCTTGTAGTGGGTGGCGCGGTGTGTGAGGGAATGGATGGAGCGAAAGGGGATCGAGACGTCGCAGCTGTGTCAACGGTGTTGAGATGGGGAGGAGGGTCGATGGCAGTGGTGGTCGACGGAACAGTTGCTGAGTGGCTCATGATGTCGCGCTGCGGAGGATTCGCAGTACAGGTCAGAGAGACTTTGTTGCTGCTCGCCATTCCATCCACTCAAACTCCCTCCTGCGTGCAGCACTCACGACCCGTGATTCCGACACGTCGAGGAGCCCTTGAAGACGTGACGCGATGCTCCTCTGGAAAATGTGCCCAACGAGATGACGATTGCGTGTGCCTAATCTGCTGCTGCTACTTGACTGCTGCAACACGGCAGTGTCTCTGTCCAGATGGCTCGTCCGTACTGTGCCGTGCCAGCAGGGGTCTGGCGCGCGCGCTGAGGCGTGATTGAGTGATGTGCTCCTCCTCCACAG